TTTTACAAGGGTTGTCTTACTCCGATTCATGTAGGTCGTCTGAATATTTTGCAAGGAGCTCAAAGATATATTGATGGCCTCGGCATACATAAACTGTTACGTGCACATGTTTTCCCCAACGTATTAAAGTCACCCAGCAAGGAAGCTGGACCACGAGGGTCATTTTTGGCATCGGACAACGTCTTGCCACGATTCATCTCATAGTAAAAATCTTGATTAGGTAATAATCGATTCGTTCAAAACTTTCCAACCACGTTCAATTGACTTCTATATTACAATGTAACACTTTGTCCTGTCATCTTCTGCTATTCGAAAGTACTCACGTAGTCATTCTGTAACACGTAAGGTAGTCCAATCATATACTCAAGTGGAAAACATCAGTGCATACATTTTACAACAGCACTTCTGAAATACAAACTCAAATACGTTGTCATCCGTAAAAACATCGCTTTTCGTACTTCCTCGTCAAATTGTTGAGCTCCCACTGGGAATTCTCTCTCTGCTGCTTATCTCATGATTGAATGATTCGATAAAAGTCATTTTATTCAAATCGAAACAAATCGGTATCGATAAAGCCTAGGTTGTCCACCCTACAGCCTTTATAAAATTGAGTACTCACCTGTTAGTCTCGAAAGTTCATCACAGTCTATGGTTTTAAAATTATCCACCGCTATTTGAAATAGTGAAACAGCAATGGTTGAAGATGATTTTTGTTTTAAACTTGCTCTACGCATCTCTCAAATCGACATTCTACGTTGGTACTATGCTGCTCAATATTTTCACACTTCTGCTAAGACTGTATTGCTACTGAAACACTTTTCTTAGAACTCAAGACCATTATGTGAATAGAGAAAGATCGAAGATTCGTTTTTATTTTCATTATTGATTACAATAGCATCGCTACACGCAGAGCTTTTTGAGCATTCAATTCTGAAGAAGGTAGAATTTGCGTGGTTGACATCATTGAATTCAAAAGTCACTAAATGTATACCACGTACTGGAAAAAAATGACCGATAAAAGTTACACGCACTCTCTGTAGCCCAAAGTGTCACACTCAGCTTATCACTATGCAGTAATACTATCCATACGCCTTCCGCATCTCTTTCAGACGCTCAGCGATGACGATTTCACTGTATGCTATGGAGATTTATGGGCCTCCAATGTACTTGTGCAACTTGAAAGATCATTTCGATTCGTACTTGTGGACTAGCAAGCCTCGAAGATAAAAACCGACAGGAAGAATACTATCGATCAGAGCACATATAAGATAACACGAAATAAGGTGAGTGCTAATGTGTAAATGGGAGTATGAGTGTAATCTACTCTATATCCACATAGAGTCAGAGATGTTCGTAAAACGGAGTTGCATTGGTTTATTCTCGCGTAGTCTTGGAAAATGTTGGTTTATTTAGCAGAAGTCAACGATTTTCTTCCATTTTTGCTTATTAATATTTGTAGGAATGATTGGTTCTTTATTAAAACAACCCACAACGATGTCCTCAACCATCGAGTATGTTCCTAAATCTTCGTGATGTCATGGTTTCTAAAACTCAAGTTATCATCTTAGCTAATATACACTTTCTTAGAAACAGGCTATTGTTCTTACGAAAAATTCGAAGATACATTTTTTAATAAAACAGTCAGTAGGTTTATTGAGTATATACACATGTGAGAGGTTTTTTCAATATGACTCACACAAAGTATATTCATTTCGGATATATTGACACGTTATATTAAACGAAAGTTACCAGCGAAAAGTCTCGAAATAATTGAAAAATCATTTAACATTCATGAAAACTCATTTCTTATTGTAGAAATTTTCTAAGATCTATCTGTACTGTAGATCTAGCATGTAGCTGTGTTATTTCTATTACATACATTGTACATTTCAGGACCAACAAGTTCTCCAGCGTTTCAATAGTAAAAAAAGTCGAAAAAGAACAAAAATATTTGTTCTATTAAACATTCGCTCTGAATAAAATAATTACAAAATTTTGTCTCGTTGGCTTTGTCGAAAGGAAAACTCTTTCTTTTAATTCCAACTAACAGCGAGAGAAGTAAACAACACTGCTGATATCTTGCTGTTCGAAACATGAGTAGCTTTCTTTTTGAATCGGATCAAAGTAGACAATCATGTTCATGCTAAGCTTATGGAAGCATTGAAAAGAATTATTACTGCACCAATTGCGCTTGCACAACCATCATTATTATCATGAAATTAAGACTTTTTTTTCTGAGATTAGAACCCCACATTTATATCTCACATTAGCCTCAGATACAGTGTCGCTTGGTGCATTTTTAATATGGTAAATATTGTGATTCAGGCACTTGGTAAGGTGTTGTTTTATGTAAAAAGTCTGCTCTGTGTGCGATGCAAGCACGTATCATAATAGGCATTTTTAATATTTGCATTGCAACCAAAACATTTTCTCGCGAATCGTCGTTGTGAAGAAAGAAAAAAAAGAGAAAAAGGTACGCCAACAGAAGAAGAACAGAAAAAGCCATTTACCGTGGGTTTGATTCTTTTCTTTGATATTAAATCATTCTCGACGAACACATGCATCTATCGGTTTGATGACGACTATTCTTTATAAATAAAGTGTACGCGATCGAGTAACAAATACTAATATAAAATCATTACCGTTGGTTCGAATGTTTGTCAACAAATTTTTCTATTTTTCAAATGGCAATTTCTTTATATGTCCATGAAATGAAAGTTGAACCGCCAACAATAAGAATAGTGACTATATACAAGTTTTAGATGTGAGTACGTAGTATTTCGAAACACATTTCAATTAATGTAGTGATAGTGCCAATTCATCATTTTTGGTTTATGATTGGCAGTCATTTACAAAGCAACGTGATGGTATAAAAATGGAAAAAGATGTCACTCAACACATTCGACGAGTCTCGAACATTATTCAGAAATCACACAAGCGACTTGTGGCAATTCGTAAAAGTCAAAAGAAACCTTACACACTTCATTATATACTATTCGTACATTCATCGACAGTCTACAACGTATCTTATTTCAACGTGCACTATAGAGTCCATTTTCCAAAATTTTCAGATCTTGTGATAGATATTCGGTGAATTTCAGTCAGGTTTGACGTTATTGCATTCAATCTCGTAGCATCGATTTTCGGTTCCATAGAAAACATAAGCAAGACGCTCAGATTGTGCTGAGAGCATGATTTTGTTAGAAGTGGTAAGTTATTTTTCACAAGTAGTAATTTTAGCTTACATGCAATATCTTGCATACATATTCAACGTCATTGTTTAAGAACTGTTTTCGTAAGGTTCGATCATTTTTTTGTTTGAACATTGAATGATTCTTTGAGCTGAATGAATTCTTTTTTATTTTATCGTTTTATTGTTTTCTCTTTTTTTTAATGAAGTAGTTGCTGCATGATACATCCAATATAGTGTGCCATTGCACAATGAGGTTATTTGTTTTCCTTGGTTATTCATATCTTTTCATGACAAGTCCACCTCTTTTTAGTTTTTCAAAATACTTTGTATTGAAAAATATTAAATAGTAATGTAAAGGAAATGAGAATGTACAAAAGGCAGAAAAAAAGGAAGAATGACAAAGAGTCGTTCGTTTGTTGTTACATAACTCTCTATAATGACTCATCTACGCTTGTTAGCAAATTTCAGATATGATGGGTTCGCAAGTCGCCTCTCAACGAAAGCGAGCGTTGGTTATCGGTATTAATGATTACTTCTCCAATCCATTAACTCACTGCATCCACGACGCTCAAGATTTCCAGCGAACTCTCAAAAGTATCGAGTTCAATGTAACACTAAAAACTAACCTTAATCGCGTCGAGTTCTATCAGTGCTGTAAAGAATTTGTTAAGGAAACTAAGGTTACTGATTTAATATTATTCTATTTTGCTGGTCATGCCAAACAATATGCACATCATAATTATTTGTTACTATCTGACCTCGCTTATGATCAACGCGGAAGTGAAAGCAAATACATGATGAGCAACGCTATTTTAATAGACGACGTCATGGACTCATTAGCTAGCAAAAAATGTTACGCTATCATATGCATCTTTGATTGTTGCAGGAAGTACATAAGCCCTATAGAAGCTAATGCTCAGCAAAATTTATTATCTATGACAGCCCCATCGCAAACATTAATAATATATTCAAACAGTCAAGGCAAAGTAACACATGGTGAAACGAGAAATGGCAAAAACGGTCACTTAATGGAAAATTTGTTAAAACACATTACAAAGCCCAATATTGAAATTACAGATGTGTTAAGAAATGTTGCTAGTGATGTCGACCATCAAACTAACGGTTCGAAACGAGTATATCACAACAGTGGTCTTCGGGACAAACTCTTCTTGGTGGAAACTAATGATCCAGGTCAGAGCTTCTAATTTTTTATTTCTTCTGTATGTAAATCAAAACTCGATCCTGAATTAGCGTTGGTCACCGATAGTTTGAAAAAATACAGTTGCGATCGGTCCTTACAGCAGCTATCCATTGTTTAAAATCAACAATGTAATAACTAGAATAACCACAGTTTAGCTCAAAGTTAGGCTTGTGTCATTTCTTAGTGACGACGTTTGACTCGAACAATGGTATTTTTGTCGAGTCTCCAAGATAGTATTGATCTGTCATTCTGAAAACACTCGCGCTGAACATTGATGTTGTTCTTTTTCTTTTTATTGCATACAACAAGAAAATTTTTGGAAAGTCAAAAAGTTGCTCCTGATAAGCGTTTTTTCCAGACACGAGCGAATCATATCTCATCTCATTTTCTCTCGCCAAAAAACAAATAAAAACAAATTTATGTAATTTTACTAGGTTCAGTAGGTAAGTCTGCGGGTGAACCTCGGTCGACTAATACACCAAGAGACCATACAGTATCTGATCAGATTCAAGGAAAAGAACAATTTCCACACCGACACAAAGAGTTTGACCGATCGGCCAGCATAGATCTCGCCGAGAAGAATACATCAGATCAGCCCTTCGTGCATCATAAACCGAAACTGACAGCTTCTGCAAGTCTAGGTAACCCAATGGAGGTATCACGAGACGGAGAACGTACCTCTGGAGGAATGAGCAGAGCTCCTGGATCTGTCAAGTTACAAGAAAATGATAATATCGTAGCATCAAGATCACGAGGAGAACATTCAAGTGGTCCAGAAGCTTCATTGCGTTCATCTAATACAAGCAATCTACCAGCTCAAATAAGAACACGGAATTTATATTCAAGTGAAATTTTTGGCGTTAACGAAACAATCAAAGAAGAGTTACTATTTTTATTCGAACATCTAAGACGTCGACTGCCACCTATGGACAAACAAGGGCCGATGAGTGGCAAATGCGTTCGTGAGACTAACCAGATGGAAGATTTTCTTAAGAGAAATTTTGGTTTCCATAATAATGGCAAATACATTGTATCTGGTGTACGAGAATTTGAACTGCTTAAACCTCTCTCAAAGATGGATTCCAACACAAGAATTTATTTTCCTCGTGAGGGTCGTGATTCATTTACCATAACTGTATCAGAAATCAGAAGGTGGCAAAATTCCTTTGCAGTCTATGCTGATCAAACTACCCCAGGGATGGACAAAGTCTTTCTTTATCGAGCTCTTCAGGGAAAAAGTAAAGATGGCGAAGAAGCTTTTCGCATGAAATTTGTTGTGCGAATTTCTGACTGTCCTATCTTGATGAAATTCGATGCGAAGATATTACCTCGTTCACTCGAAGAGCACTGGCCTAATTGCATTAAACTCGTTTCGGTGACAGGCGTCGACTTTGCTGGACGAGAACACGATGTCAACGATGTCACAACCTATATCACCAATTGGAGAAATGTTTTCGAGCTTGATCGCATCACAGGTAAGCCAGCAGTGTTTCATGGGAGGGACTTTTATCCAGTGAAGCCTCAGCCACCTGTGGTGCTTGACGAAAAACGTTTGATCGACGATCTTATTCGTATGGTGCGACTACGATTACGAGCATGCCATCTGGAAGGAGTAGAAATAGTAGTCGAGACAGGTATTGGTCTTGGTGTTTTCGCCGGCAAACACATTGGCATTGATGCCCAAGTACGGAAGTTGTCTGCCTTTGCCGTTCGACATGTACTCCAAAATGAATCGACCATGTTCAAAAATATCCGCGCTATTGTGTTTGCTTTACCGATCTTCTCCAAAAGTATAGACGGCCGTCAGCTACCTGACACTTATCATGATTTTGTTAACGAATTTCACAAGAGTCAATATCGTGGACCTATACCTGTGCTTATCGCTGATCAGGATATGCATGAATTGACGGTAGCCATTGCTCTTCAGGGCTTTCGTGTTTCTCAACTCAATCCAGCTGATTCACATGGTGTGTTTGGCGAATATTGGCAAAATTATGGACCAGCAGTCGAAGAAAAACTTGCTCTGACGACACTCGGTCTGCTCGTTCAACATCATCTTATTAATCCTTCAGTTCTAGATACGAGTAAATATAACATCATATGATGTTAAATATTTTCAAATGGCCAATGCTAATCTCGCGAACAATCATATTTTTTTATCACAAGCAAACGAGTTCTCAATGAAACATAAGAACAACGCACTACTGCCACAAACATTCTTATTGAAGAGCAACATCCTTCTCTGACATATAGGCTCCAATTTCAGGATTTTTAGGGACGTGGGCGTAGAGATCAGTTTAATAAAAATGATACACTGCAGTTTTTCTCTTGAAATTGATGCTTGTCTGTTTTATAAGGAGCATTTGAAACTTGTTTTTGATTGATACTCTTCAAATGTTGCACACGTGCTCAACTGAAAATTCATAATTATTATAGTCGAATTTTACTTTGTTCATATTTGATTATATCTTAATTAAGCAGATTTCCACTATCGATCCTATTTTGTCGAGTTATTCGCTTGTAATATCGCCACCATATTTGCTGTGAGTGTAAGACTGTAAGCGTGGGAATCAGTGAGAATGGAAATGGATGTATGAACGTAAGCATGGAGCCCCGAGGCTGATCCACATCCACATCCTTTGTATTTTCATTGCTCAAAACAAGCTGTCATTTTTTTCTCGTTCGTATTTCTGTGATGAGCATACTAGAATGGAACAATCGGATGTTAACAACATTTTCTTGTTGCTTAGAAATTTTTTGCATGAATATTCTTTTTATTTTACGCAGTAGTATGTTTTGAAAAAATACTTTACCGCTGCCGATGCAAATCCTATCTGAATGTTTTTGACATATGCTGATGCAACTTCGCCCCACTTCATTACAGACCTTTCTGTTTTTTTGTTGAAAGTTGGAAAAAAATGACTAAGGATAGTCAACAAAGTGCATCAGGCTTTGATTGTGTATTGCACTTCGTCTGTGCAAATAAAAGGGGCTCTTAAAGTGTCACTTGTGGAAATAAAACTTCTCTTCTGCGAAAAAGAATGAAGAAAACGTGTGTAGAGCAAGTAGTTTTTGATTGGTCTCTAAAGATGATTCATGCGATGCTAAGAGCACTCGTTACCTATGCCTAAAGAAAGGAAGCGAATCCAACATCTGTTTTGCTAATTTAGCCTAAAAGAGAAAATATTACGATTCAATAATGAGAACAAGATAATCTACAATGCTCATCTGATCTTGAAAAACTGCATGATTTGAACTAACTTCAATTCAACTACTATTCAGTTTCCTTAGGTTTAAGCTAGTTTTATCAGCAATCATCTCTAAACTTACGTATGAAACGGTCGATGTCATTAGTTGCCTAGTTCGAGTTCGCATACAAATAAAGCCTTAGCTGCATAAGATGACTTCGAAAACCAAGCCAGCACTTGCTTATAGTAAAGATAACAAATTTAATTTCAACTATGCAAACAATGATCGTGATGCTTCTGATACGTTCTTATATATCTGAATGGAACAGCTGCATGGGGTGTGGGTGTTCAATTTAAACCCACATCCTCCAATCAATTCTTACGGAATAATCTATTGTTAGTTGTTTATCAATTTCAATCATATATATCGAGGATAAGCGCTTTTCTCGAGATTCAAACTCGAAATCCTAATTTTTACATTTGTTTTGGGTCCCCGTATTTTATCAGGTTAAAACTGCCATTGAGTTTCAGCTCGATAAATATAATAAACTTGAAACTGATATTTATATTGTTTCAGTTGAGACTACGCATTTTCATCATTTAATCGACTTAAATCGATTTAATATAAAAATAATCGATTAAAATTCGTCGGCAAGAAGATTAATTGATCGTTTGGACTTTCTCTGAAAAAGTCGATTCTAATTGATTTTTACTGAGAAAAATCAATTAGAGTCAGTTTTTACTTCAGAGTTAATCGAGATTTGGTATCGTTAATCAATTGTTGTGGTCTTTTTTTCAAAAAAATCGATTTTCAATCGATTTTTAGCGTCTTTTTACAGGAGTTTTCATTTCACTAAACACAATTAAAATTATATGATCTTCAATTTAATCTCTTTATCGAGTTCGGAAAAATTGTCATTAAGAAGCGAGACAAATAAAGCTGCGTATGTCCATTAATCAAGAAGTATTCATTTTACATTGAATTCGATATACTGAGAGGCGAGATTAGCAGGCGGATTGGGACGATCTCTGCATATCGGGAAATAATTGCCGTGTTTCTAGTAATAACGCCTTAAATATTTGTTTTTACTACGTCTACAGAGCTCCAAAACATTTTGTATGCTCATGATGCCCCATTTCCGTAAAATGACCCCTCATCTCTACCATAGCGTCTCATATCATAAAAAAATATTTTATCTACCCCTAAATATACTGGATTGCTACTGAAACACGTAAATTATTTTCCTGAAATAAAAATATTTATATTTAGTTTAATCTCGATGTTCTTGTCTTAAAAATTGATAAGAACACAGAAAGAGAATTATATATTTAATTCCATTGCTCTTGGAGATATTTTTCATTGCACTTAACATATTTTTACTCTTATATAAACTGTATAAATTTTACTAAGAACCGAACCGAACTGAACCGAAACCGAGATCGGTGGGATTCGTGAACAGAACCGTGTCCATCTCTGGTTGGAGCACAAATTATTAACTGAAATGTATTTGTTATACTATGATGTTCCTTACAGATATCGAACAAAAACCCATGTGAAAAATAGAGTGACTGACCTGATTATAAAATAATGATTTATGTGATCTTAGGAGGCAATATGATATTTTAGATTACACAATACCGTGTATTATGTAGTCTAATATAGTTTATTTGAAAAGGAAAATAAATATTAAGTTTACATTGACTGTTGTAAATTTTATGAAGTTTTGTTGCTTTCAAAATCAGAAGCCATTAGCCTTTGGTAGCTATTAACGTACTGTCGTGTACTAGTATTGGACGATGGCATGTATGTACCTCGTTCCGTTGTGTGACACATATAAGTATTATGTTGTGATGATCGATAGTCACGTTCTGTTGGATAATGATATTCAAGATCTTTAATTAGCTTTTGACAGAAAGGATCTTGTGCAGATACACTGGCTTTGATCTTGTCTACTTGAGCTTTAAGAATAGCACGTGATTGTCGATAGTTATCCTCGGCCATTGCTTGTTCTAGTGCATGTGCTGTTTCTACTCGATTTCGTTGAATGTCAAGTACATGATTGACGCGAAGAAGTTCATCTGGAGGATGAGAACCTCGTACTAAGTTGAAAGAAACTGGATTTGTCGTTATTGTGCGACCACTATTGGGATCCATATAGATAACGGTCACATTACCTATTAAGAAAGAAAAAAATGAACAATGATAATAATGACCTACTCAGAAAAAATGAATCAGTTCTTGCTCATATTCACCAATGATTTGATTTTCAAATAGTTGGATTTCTTCTGTAGATTGAGTCAATGACATAGGTAGTTGACGAGTCATGTCTACATTCTGTTCATTATTGTCCGTTTTAGGTACATATAATTGAAAAACAAGATTTCGCTTTTCTTCGGCATTCAAATCATGTAACTTGATATTGAGTTTTGTCGACGGTAGTTGTTCAGGTTCATATTTATAGTTCGAATGAACATGAGTGATCTTATAGGCCCCAGTAAATTCGATATTGACATGAACTTGTTGTGCAACACATGTGAATAGACCACCCAGAGCCATCGCGAATGCAGAACCTATTGCTTCTTGTTCATCCTATTAAAAAAGTTTACAAACATATTGATAATCATGATAATTTGAAAATCAGATAGTCAAGCTCAACTTACAATGTAAGTGAACGTGCCTCCATTGCCTTGCTCAGCTATTCGCACCAGTAATGAGGCCGTATGATCGGATCCGTAACCGAATGTATGGCATTGAACACCACTACGTAGAGTTTGCATTAGTTGGGTATAGTTATGATTTTCATTGTCTTGACCATCAGTGAGCAAGAGTAAAGCATTCAACGGATTTTTTGTTTGACGATTAGTAAACAAGTTGATGCCCATTTCTAAACCCTTTCCGATGTAAGTACCACCTCTGCTGGTAATATCATTATTGATAGCATCAGTCAATATTTGTTTGCTAACAATTGATCAAAAAAAAAAATCGTATGATTTCATTGCTAATTAAAAGAGAAGCATTTGACAATGGGAGCTCCCTCAGATGTGTTTCTTGAATTCCTATTAGATATGAAAAAAACTTTCCGATCCAAAGTTATGAGTGTTAGTTTTGAATTCGATCGACGTTTTTTGATGTTCTCAATGCGATACATACAACATATGTTCTTAAGTGATGTGCATATGATTTCGATCGTTAAAAATGAAATATATAATTAATGGGACAGTTTCAATTAGCTGTTCACATTTCATCTATTTCTCAGCACAAGACTGTCAAAACTGTTCTTTAATAATTCATGTCTGTCAATAGATTTGGATGCGTTAACTTAGAGAAATGAAGCGGTCAAACATAGACCAAGACGATGTATGCGTCGTTCGCTTCCTCCAGAAATTCTAGTTATCTTCAGTTCGCTAGGACTTTGCATTTTTCCACTTACGAGAGAAAAAGCTGGTTGTTCTAGTAAACTTGTTCTGTACTAGCATGTAGATTTGTAATACTCTAACGACCTTTATTAATTGTTTCAGGTTTAAAATCAGTGCATCTCAATTGATAACTCGAAACTATTTCCAATGGATAACCTCAACAATACGCCTAAGAAAATTTCCTGATGCGCAAATGCTAGACTCACTTTTGTTGATTCATCAGTTTGAAACCGTGTGAACGATCAAAAGCTTCAGTATTGAACGAAATAATAGCTAGCCGATCGAGTTCATTCATTTTTTCAACAATGTAGACCAGAGTTTGTTTCAATAATGCTATTTTCTCACCCGACATCGATCCACTTTGATCAACCACACAAACAAGATCAATTGGAACACGAGATGACAAGAAGGATCCGGCTTCTGCTGGTAAGAGGACAGTTGCTGCTTCAAGAGTAACAAGACCGTATATATTTGATTCTTCATTTGAGATTCGAGCTCCATATTCTAATGTCGTTGAAGCAGTTATCAATGGAAGATTGTCAGGATTATTGAGTGAAGCAAATGCAGCCTGACGAGCAACAGCGTGACGATCGCAAAGTTCTCGCACAGCAACCGCATCGATCAGATCTTCAACTGAAGGAATAATCTATAAGATATCATCACGATCAAATTATTTTTCGACGTATGATTGTATATATATATATATACGCCTGGGAAAAATAAGCTGCAGTCTGTTTTTTGGGAATATTGTTATCATAGTAGCGTATTTATTAAAAAATAATGATATATTCTGAAAGCGCGTGCAGTTTTCTATCAGCCTATATATTTGATTTTTCCTTTGAATGTATGTATGATCAAAAAAAAAATTTAGTGTAATGAAGGCATCTTCATCTCCAGATTTCCACAGACTTGATTTTGTCTCTGTCACCAAAGTTAATTTAAAAAATTTTTCATCCCTATGAAATTACTTTTTGGAAAAAAATAATTATATATTCTGATAGAGCTTGAAATTCTATATCATTCTGTATATTTACTTATTTCTTTATATTCATTTATCGAAAAGAAAATTTGAGTACAGTGAACGCACCGTCAATTGACAAGTACCGGAAATCGTTACTTTTTTCCTTTTTTCAAAATATAGTTACTATACAAATAAACTTCTAAAAAAAGGAATTCTAGATTCTTATAGAGCTTCAAATTCTCTATCATTCTATATATATTTTCCCTTGCCTTGCATTTAAGTACTGAATGTGCTGCAGCACATAACTGCAAAATAGTTAATAAATATACAGGATGATAGAGAATTTCAAGCTCTATCAGAATATATAATTACGTTTTTCAAAAGATAATTCTATAGTGATAACAAATTTTTAAAACTAATTTTGGTGACAGAGACAAAATCAAGTCTGTGGGAATCTGGAAATGGGAGTGCCTTCATTACATTCAATTTTTTTTGGTCATACATATACTCAAAGGAAAAGACAAATATACAGACTGATAAAAAATTCCACGTGCTTTCAGAATATATCATTATTTTTTAACAAATACGCTGCTATGATAACGATATCCCAAAAAACAGACTGCAGTTTATTTTTTTCAGGCGTATATATAAAATACGGAAGTAACATAGGTGAAACATATTACTATTTACATTAACTGCAGGGATTGGAGTTGGGATTGTTTGTTGTTGTTGATGTTGTGGTGATGGCTGAATGGGACCTGCTAGTAATTGAACGACTGAATTATCAATTGCAGCTCGACATAGTGGACATTCTTTATTTTTTGCTTTAATGTTCGATGCTAAACACTGAAAATGGAATTTGTGATTACATGACAGAGTCAAAAGAGGAGACCCTGGCGCAAGAGCACTCAAACATATAGTACAATCATCAACAGTATTTCCTGTTGTTGCAGATTGAGAAGCGGGTAGCATGTTTTATGTTTTTTATGACAGTAGCAGTGGTGAAAGAGAAAAACAAGTAAGCAAGCAAAAGTCCGTAAGATTTTATACAGAAAAGAAACGCAACAAAGTAATTGCATCATACAACCTTGATACGTGTTTTTATTGGTGTTTGTGATTCATCGCAGATGTGACGGTAAAATGGTTTATTTCCTGGCATAAGTTGCATCTCGGCTTGAAATGCCTATTTCGAAACATTTGTTTTTTTTCCACTATGAATGAGATAAAATAAATCTGACGCAATTGTGTTATTGTTCGTCTTGATAAACAAAACATACAAAATAGCAAAGAAATTTTCGAATGAGTCATATAAGTCGACATATTCCTATTGGGTTTTACACCAAAAGCAGTGCGCAAATTTCCAGATGAGTCATTTTATTTGATATATTTTTATTAAATCTTGAATGAATTTTTTCAGATGTTCACCTGTGAGAGCTTTTTCTTAAAGTGAAATTTTGATAAACGAACACTGCAACAATTAGAGATTACAACAGAAATAGATATGATTGAGGTTGTATAGAAGCACAAACTTTATTTAATTTTTGTACGGCTTAGAATATTGAAATTACTCGTGCTTGGTTTCTCGAAAGCTCGGTTGTTGTGCAATGTCAACTGTTTTCTTAACAACTCAATCGATACATTCGATATTTTAAACAGTCGAATCCATGTGCGAGTGCTCTCTACGACACGTATAAAAAAATCAGTTTATTAATGGTGAGTTTTTTCTCGTTTATTTGGTGACATTGTTTCTTTTCTTTTAGTTTCTGTCGTAAAAAAATAAACAGGTAAACTTTAGTAGTTAGCAGGATTGCAAAAAGTCATCCTTTCTTCAGAATGTTGGAAATTTTTGTTTGCCTCACTTAATGGATTTAGTTTTGAGATTTTGTACAGAATATTTCATTAAATCTCTATTTTAGAACCATTCTCGAGAGTATGGATGTGGGTGTAAGTATCCGAGATCAAAATTAATAATAAAATCTTGATTAAGTTTGGTTTTGATCTCTGGTGTGTATAGCTAGACGAAAATGGAAATATTCATAGCCATGCTTTCACATTAAATTTCAAGTATTATAATTCACTTTACTTTGTTAACTAAAGTAAAGAAAGTGTCATACCTGCGTCATAGAGATCTAATATTTGCAAAAGGGAAAATTAATAGTGAATCATTTATATTGACATTGTTGTTGTTGATATTCATTTTGAGACCGAATAGTTAGGAATCACATATAATTCAAAATTATTTTGATAGCTCTTTGTACAGACTATATTGTTATGAAAGAAGTATTTATTTCGAACATTATTTTTATTTGTTCCACCTGAAATAGATGTTCTCCAATAGTTATAATTTATGCGCTTGCATATATGTCAGATTTATATGTTTGATCATTCATGAAAAAGATTTGTGTCAAAATTGACTGATATATATTTCGAAAGAGCTTTTATTTTCTTTCACAAAACTATGCATTTTCTACGATCTAAAAGTTAGATCAGTATTAATTCCATATCGTGATTATTTTTGAAACTCAGCAGTCAATCTCGGTTCTTTTCTGCTTGAATTTATTAATGCCTCATTCGATGAATATCTCTAAACTCTTAGGAAATGTTAGATTCTAGTAAAAAGCACGTTTGCTTGCATGTGTGAGAACACTCAAATAGTCAATAGCAGTTAAAGTGGCTGTTTTCACATAATATCTGAGTTTAGTCATTTATTAACGATGGCTCTACAAAAATAGTCATTAGCTAGAAGATTGAATTAATGAAAAGAATAGGAAAATCAGTAGAAAATTACTAAAAATGACTCTACTGCTTGAAAAAGTGTTTTTAAAAGAGCCAAATCAACCATCGATTTTCATGGCAAAAGACACGGCACAGAAAACAGTATAAGTGAGTTTATTATTCTCTTTCAAGTTTGTTTCATTCACCATGAGATTGCCTTTTGTCTTTCATCAGACATTAGTCTTTTTTTTTCTTTTTCTACGCAGGTTATATATTGTTTGTGAGTGCATGTGCACATGCAACGAAAAGTAACATAACACATCGAGCTACCGTTATGTTATAAATACGACTATTCTGAATAAAACAAAATATGAAATTCTCATCGTCACATAAAAAATGAATTGTTATCAATAATAAAAAAATATACTCATTTTTTTACAGAGAGTAGATGTGAGTGACAGGAGCACAAAACCCACATCCACTCCACACCCTTTAATGCGCCGTACACATTGATACGCACCACACACCAATGCTACATGCACACCCATCTGATTGAACATTGTTGTATTTTTCACTTAGATTTTTAATCTTTCTCTGAAAGCTTTAGGATTTTAATAATATTTGAGTAAGTAAAACACTTTTTGTGTTCCATCAGCTAGTCATTTTTTTTCTCCGCCCGGAGAACAAAGGAACCAAATAGCATCTTAAGTAAATACCGTAAAGCTTCGAAAAAGCAACAGAACTCGTCCAACGTTATTTCGCAATGAAATAGCATTTGTTTTTGTTTTTTTATTTTTGATAAATATTGTCGTAGAGACAAAAGAAAATTACGTTTCTCTGCAAGTTTTGAGAAAATGACAAGTGAAAATGATGAGAACAAATTAAAACAATGCTTACAATCAATTATCGACGCTATTTCTGATACAATCAATAATTTAACAAAACAAACAAGACATTCTAATCAAAAACAAATATTACGTAACCTTCCGTTAACCATACAAAATCTATTAGATGACAATCTTGCTTCTTTTTCTTCTCAGTGTCGAAATTATATCTTCGATGCATTAAATCATTATAATTATAATACGGAAGCAAAAGCATTTGATAGTGCATTTACAGTAGAATTATTAGATCCTTTTCGAAATGATCTTCAAGGTAGACTATTTTTACTTGATGCTTGCCAAGCTGCATGGAATGGGGATCGATCAATCATAGAAACTTTTATTAGAAACTATCCAACATTAAAAGATAAATCTGGTCTTTATGGAACAACTCTTTTATATTCTGCTGCTAGAAATAATCATTTTCATATAGTTCAATATCTTATTCAAGTTGGTAAATGTTCAGTTAATGCACAAAATAAAGATTATCTTGAAAAAAGTCATCTATCAACATTAAAAGCAACAGTTGGTTCAACAGCATTACATGCAGCTTGTTTTTATGGACATTTACAAATTGTAGAATATTTAATTCAACATGGAGCTGATTATTTTATATTAAATGCTGCATTCGAAACTCCCATTGATAATGGACAACCAAAAGCAAATATTCGAAACTTTTTTACTAATTTTCTTGTTTTGAGTTATTCAAGAGATTCAAATGTTCTTCCGAAAAGAACCATTCTTGACGAAATCGAAAAAAATGGAGAATACATTAATGATTGTTTTTGGGAATATAAACCATTTTCACATGATCGATGGTTTCCATTTACCGTAGATGCATCATCTCGACTTCAAAAAGCCTTAACTATAGATTCCAATGAAAAACTCATTACTGAAATTCATTTAAAAGCATATCGAGAAGCTTTTAATGTGTCAATCGTTCAGTTTTTACGATGGGTTAAAAATTATGATCAACCAGATAATTTAGCTTGGGTTCGTTGTCGAGGTTCATCTCTTCTGAATTTTCATTGCTATTCACAATGGCAAATTATGTTTATGAAACATCCAGCAGGAATAACAAATTCTTCATCTCCAATACAAACATTCGATATGACAACCACTGAAATACAACTGAATTCATGGTATAAAGCAAATGATAAAATTAATTTTTTATTTGAAAGAACAATGAATTATCATCGAAAATATATGACTATTAATTTGAATTTTATCAATAATGAAAAAATAACATTCGATTTTGAAAATTTTACATTTACTAATCAACAAAATACAGTTGAAGGTTTTTTAAGATGGATACCAAAATTAATATTGAATGATAAAAAATTAATACTTGTGAATAATTTTCAATTACCATCTGATTCTGATATAATATTACTCACTACATCATATTTGAAAAAAGCACTTCTCAATGAAGCTATTTCTACAAATGAAATGAATCAATATAATTTAAAATATGATAATGTTTTAGACGAGGACATTTTGGATTTTCCAAACAAGGTTAGGATTTAAATCATTTATTGACTAGGTTCTTTGTACTTCAATCATGATAGACAAATAGAGAATGAAACATTTACATCGAAAGAACTTGTCAATGCCAAATCTGTATAGCAGATACTACGTCTCTCGAATGTCTTCTAGATTATTATATAATAAACAAACAAATCTATGCGTCACTTTTAAGTTAGGATGTATTAACAAAACTCATATTTAACAAAAAAATTCAGTTTTTTCGAAAGATCAACGTGCTAGATAATTGATTCTTGTTAAATCAATTTTCTAAAAACTAAAAGTTATTGTATTTGTTACATATAGCCTAATTCTTTTTATGGTAGTGTAATGTGAATAATTATATTATTGACAAGAAAACTAATTCATATTCATAGAAATAACAAAGAAAATAGATGTGTTAGGTAAGAATAGCTGATGTATTACTTGAAAAGCTCGTGATCCTCACTTTCATCTACTCATTTTTTCATGTATATACAAAGTTATTCCCATTTTAAATATATGACAGTGCTAGTTATAAGAGGTGTAAGTCGATGTATTGGTCGGCGTCGACAGCTGGAATTTTTCGATGAAGTTTTCAAAAAAAATTTTAATTTCGAAAAATTTTAAAATGAAAGAGAGAGAAAGCAATTCCATAACAAATTCTTTGATTAATGTACCGATTTTGATATCAATTCTGTTGATATTATTGTTCCCTCTTCTATATAATCTTGTAGTGTATGTGAGATAAATACGGCTGAAAATGTGAAATTGCTCAATAACTATTATTATTGAACAGGATAACAACTCAACATTCTTCAGTTCACATCAGTTGATAAAGGTTACAGCAGAAATATTGAGATGATGATAAAT